CATTTAAACATTCAATTACACAACAGACAATAAAATATAAAATATACAATAATATAAAATATACAATAATATAAAATATACAATACTTAGGGTAAACTGCAAAAAGGCAGCAGAAAAATTACAAATTAAACTTTACAGCAGTAAACAGCAAAAGAACAGTCTGTAAAAAAAACAGTAAATAAATAAATAGCAGCCAATTTTAATCTATGTGATATTGTGCAATGGTAAAACTAATAATAATATAATATTAGTGCAGTAGACAGTTTGTCCGGAGTGATTTTTGGGGGTCATTGCTATTCACTTTTGAACAAGTTGTAGACAACAGCTTTAGTAAATGAGTCTCACTGTTGTTGTGCGTTATGTGGGAGCTTCCTCTAATGACTGTCTGAGTGTTACGTTTCCCCGGTGGCTCACAGATTAACGGACTCGTGTTGTTTTATCTATCCAGATGTGAAGTCTGCTGGAACCAAAGTGTTGATGAGCCCAGAACAAGGTGTGTTCGGTTACGGCTCCATTGACCTTCTGGCTGGAGATGAGGAGGAGGAAGTCTTTGATCCGTAAGTGTAAAGCTCCTTTCAGGTACCAGGTAAACATGCAGACAGAGAGAGAACATATTGAACAACTTCTGTTAATATTGTAATAAACGTCCTCTCAATCAGTTCAGTAAATCCAATCCAACTTTATTGTAAGCACTTTAAAACAACAAATTGACCCCAAAGTGCTGTACAGGCAAATAAATAAAAAGACATAAGCGGCTTTGCAACCATGAGGTGGCCAAAATTACAAAATAATACAACAAATAAAAATGAAAACATAAAACATGATAAAAAATAATAAGCAACGCAATAAAAAGCAATCAAAATAAAATAATCAAGTAAATAAAGTCGACATCTTACAGAGAAGAGAAGAGGCCTGTTTAAGAGGCAGATCATTCCATAAGATCCATCAATTAAAAACAGCTTTCATCAATAATTCCTCTCATACTGACCAAAAACATTAATAAAACAGAAGTCTGACAAAATACCAGCAATGTTATGTTTCCATATCTGAAAAGTCACCTGATTTCCATCACAGCCTCGTGCACCGGCGTTGTTCTTTGATTCTGAATCAATTCACAGAATCCAAAAATTAAGTTATGTCGACCACGAAGGCACCGTGCAGCTGCGGTGCACAGGTGGGGAGTTATTTTGAAACGTATCTTTTAAAGAAGACGAGCATTTACACATCTGGCAATTAATAACTTTAAAAATTAACCACGCAAAGCAAAGAAAGAAGGACTTTGCTAAAAAAACTCGATCATTCAGCAGCACCGAACACTAACAAACAAGTTGTTTACTCTCAGGCGGACAGCAGCGTCGAGTACACCATTAAGGTTAAGTGCCAGGTACGTTTTAGATTGTAAGTGAATGGTTCACACACACACAGTGTACGAGAATAAAAATAATCTGTTATTTTAATCAGTTGAATGAGTAGTTAACCAAATAATCCCAGCCCTGCTTACATCCCGGTAACGATACCACATTACTAGATAGAAGACCTGGTACGTCAAATACAGATGTTTCCTTTATGAATTGATTTCTACGGTCCCAGAGCTCGCAGCCTTTTCCCCGTTTCATGTGCTTCAGTACTAAGAACAGTATTTTCTTTCACAGCTTTCGGTTCATCAAGAACATACCGTCACAGTCTCAGCACTCCCGACCCCAGCTCAGAGATATTCCCCCCAAGACCAGGAGCACTCCAGAGGCCACGCTGGTGGTCGACCTGGTGAGTTTAATCCGGAGCTTCAACCTCGACAGATCAATATTAACCGAAGGAGAGCTTAACGAAGAGCTTAACGAAGAGCTTACTACGACGTGTTAACTTATTAAGACGGCAGCGACTGTGAGCTAGAGGAACAGACAGCAGCTGAAATCCACACCAGCTGTGTCAGAGCGGCTCTCTCAAAGTCTCGGTGTGTTCGAGGAACAGTGGGCCTTTCTTAGAGAGTGTTCTTGTCTGTACTTGTGTTCCCATGATGTTGTGAAACATCAGTTCCAATTCAAAGTCCTCATCCTGCCAAGTACAGATGGGACGACTGGAATTGTAACTTTATTAAGCTTTGATTATTTATTTATTTATTTATTTATGTTTTTCAGGCGAGAAAGTAAACCCACTTAGGCTTCGTTCTCGTTTTGGAGATGTGTTGGCAACCAACCACACAAATATAACACAAACAACAACATTTCACTTTATTTTTGTGTCGCAGTACAGTTGTGTTGAGCTAAACTCGCCGGGTTCGAGTCCATACTCGTCGTACCGTATTGAGAGAGGCCGAGTTCCCTGTCCTGAAGTAGTTAACGTGTAATACGTCACACACTTGTTGCCTCACAATAGCTGCACATTGTTTTCCTGCGCTTGGCTCAAACACTGTGGTTGTTTTGGTTTTCCTCATCTGTCTTCAATCTCGACTTTTTTGCACCAGATGTTCTTATTTTCTGTTTTGTAATTCAGACAGATCTATTGTGGGAAACGTACTGCTCTGTTACACCGGTAGTGTGAGTTCATAAAGAGCTTTTATTTCAGGCCGAGATTGTAAAAATCACCATTTTACCGTCGAGAGGAAGCAGTCACATTGATCTGTGTTCCTACAGGAGGAGACTCTGATGTTCAGCTCCCTGAATGTGATCGATGAAGCGGAGTACACCTTCTACACGGCTTTCCAGGACAACCAGTACAAGGTAACAACGACTGGAGACGGTGAAAGGACGATGGAAGAATCACTTGAGTGTGTTTGTCCTCGTCCGTGAGGGATGACGGGAAGCAGGAGAAAGTCTTAATGTGGAGAAATACCAGAACTAACAATAACAGGGGGAAGAGGGAGACGCTTTTAGATTTCTACAGTGGTATGAGATAAAGTTCAACAGTTTTAGGTAACTGAAAGTGGAGAATATGTATTAACTTTAATCCTCTGCTCCCGTTATCAACAGGTGTACATGATCCTACGGCCGCACGTCAGAGAGTTTCTGGAGTCCATGTCAAAGATCTATGAGGTAGCTGTCGGTCTACTATAAAATGTAATGTAGTCGGCTTTATGAGAGCTGTCTGCAGTTTGTTTTTAGAGAGTCGAGGTGGACTGGATCATTAATGATAGTTCCTTCCCCTTAATTCACCTGAACCGATTCATTCCCACCTTTTTTTTTTAATCTTATTTTGAAAATGAATTAAACTAAATGCAGTTTTTCGTTGAGTCCTTGTTTGTGTTGAATCGGTCCCAGCTGCTGTTTGTGTTCGGTTACAGCTCTTTGTTTACACGTGTGCAAAGAAGGAATACGCTGAGAAGATACTGAACATCCTGGACCCGCAGAGAAAACTGTTTCGGTACGTCTCCTTAACAACTGCTTCCACTTGTGTTTCATAAACTCGTTGCTTGACCGCTGAGACGCGCACTCGTCCAGGTTTATCACTCGGCACACTGACCTCGGGCCGCTGCTCGGACATGTTTGTGGTGGGAGCGTTAGTTTGTCACTTCGGGGGTCTTCTCCTGTCTGACGTTAGTGTAGTGACGATGAATGCAGATGTGTTCATGTTATACAGTGAGGACAGCAGATATTAGTTGTCCTTTTGGCTCCAGGTGGTTAATATCACATAGAAAAACTGACACATACAAATCGATTGATAACAGGGTGTCAACTGTCTTTTTAAAAGTGTATACATCAGTTTAGCCACAATTAGAGCCCTTTAAAAACTCTTAAACAGCAAGATTGTTTAATTGTTTAATCTTACAATTAATGGTTAGTAAATGTCCGTTAGCGTGTCGCTGATGAAAGCTTAAAGTGGGGATGAATACAGAACGTATTAAAGGGTATTAAATGTACGACCTCGGTAATAAAGAGAACATTTTAAAGCTGGATTACATTAAGTTATAAAGATGAACCTGTCTGAGATACAGAGACACACTGACACTCACAGAAACGTCTAAATGTTTTTAACGTGTTGATGATTTCCCGTTTAGACATCGTCTGTATCAGGACGACTGCGCCTGCGTCCTCGGACACTACATCAAAGATCTCAACATCCTCGGGAGGGATCTCGCCAAGACAGTCGTTCTGGACAACGCGCCGCACACATACCCGTACCATGTGAGCACTGTGGAGCTGTGTCTGTTAGATGATTACCACATAAAACTGTTGTTTCCTTTGCTGTTATTGGACAGAGCCGGTGATATTCTGTAGTGTTAGTATCAGTAAATCCTGTGAGAAGACCAAAACCAACAGTGTGTCAGTCCGTTACGTCATAAAAGAGCTGCTGTACTTCACTCAGACTGGACTAAATACTGCAGTTGTAAGTTCAGGTGCTTTACAGCAGTAATGTTTATAGGATTCACTCAGAATAAACCACATTGCCGTGTTCATCATAATGAATTGAAATGAGTTTTAATGGTTTTTTGATAATAGTGGAGCTCTATCAGACGAATAATATCTGTCAGACTTCACTACACAGATAATGTTTGTTCATAGGATCAGTTCATCTTTTCATGGGATTTATTGACAC